TCGTTCCCCTTACTTTCTTTATTGCTTCTGCGTATGAAACTTTGTTTGTAATCTTAACCCTCTGCACCTCTCTGGCCTCTCTCTGCACTTCACATCCTCCAAACGCAGCACTGTGATCTCCTCCGCAGTTACAACATTTAACCTTTGCATCCTTTTCACATTTTCCATACTCNACATGCGCACTGCAGTGAGGGGCTTCTCGTCCGCGGCCGCAGCTAGACCCTTCTCAGCCACCGTAGTGTCGTTTCAGGAGAAGCTAAAGGAGAAGAGGTCTCTGGCGGACGAACAACCCGGAAGTGGAAGTGAAGTCGGAGACGCGTGACAGAAAGCTCAGAGAGAATTGGAAAACTCGGATACATACAGAAACGGTAGCATTGGACTGTTATTTTTGGGCGGATTTGCATAAACTGTACATTGAGTGTTTCATGATGTCAACCAGCTCAGATGGTAGCCAAAGAGACGATATGGAATGGATGATATCCAAAGCTGCGAGGAAGAAAAGATCTTTGAAAGAAAGAGATAGTTCAGAAAGAGCTAGAAGGTGGTCGGATTGGTCGGGTGAAGCCGACAAGGCTAATCAAAGCAAAAAATCTAAAATCAGTCAAAGTGTCAGCCAAGCAATGTTGGATAAAGAACTAGAACACGAGTGGAAAGTTGTAATAGAATTCAATCAGGATGGTGGGCATTACCACCCGATTAAACTTACAAAGCAATTGAAAAAGAGATTGGAAAAATTAAATTTGCTAAATTCATGAACAACAAGCGGGTTTTGATACATGCCAATAACAAACAGCAGCAGGAAAAGATTCTGGGAATGAACTCACTGAATGGGGAGAAAATGAAGGCGCATGTACCAGGAGCAATGGCAAAACTGAGAGGAGTAATTTCAGGAGTACCATTGGACATGTCAGTGGAAGATATTAAAAGGAGGTAAAGTAGTGGAAGTCACAAGGCTTAAAAGCAAACGGGATGGCACATTCAAAGAAACATTATCAGTTTGAGAGAACATTACCTAAGGCAGTACAAATGGGATATTTGAACTTCACTGTTAGGGAGTACATTCCCAAACCCCTCAGGTGTTACGCATGTCAACGAATGGGGCACACAGCGCAGCAGTGTAAAGGGCAGCTAAGGTGTGCGAGATGCGGAGGAAAACATGAGTATGGAAAATGTGAAAAGGATGCAAAGGTTAAATGTTGTAACTGCGGAGGAGATCACAGTGCTGCGTTTGGAGGATGTGAAGTGCAGAGAGAGGCCAGAGANTATACATTGAAGTCAATGGAGAGAGAAAAGTTATCTTTTGATCCCGTTTGATTTGTGCCACGAATGACACATATGATGTTTGTCAATCTTAAACAATCAATGATTGTTTAAGATTGACAAACATCATATGTGTCATTCGTGGCACAAATCAAACGGGATCAAAAGATAACTTTTCTCTCTCCATTGACTTCAATGTATAATTTTCCGCTTCCGGGGTCCCATGGAGGCTCCCGGAAGGGGAGGGACTTTTCCTCTCTATAAAGTACTGTACAGTTTTCATTTGTTATTATTTGGTTCTGTTCTCACTTGCTGTGTGTGTGTGTGTGTGTGTGTGTGTGTGTGTGTGTGTGTGTGTGTGTGTGTGTGTGTGTGTGTGTGTGTGCACGTGCGTGCGTGCGTGTGTGTGTGTGTAAAATACTACTCGGGGAATATAAAGAAAGCTGCATTGTTGCAGGACAGTTTGTCTCTGCCTGCCACAGTCTGAGGGAATCAAACTGAGCTGATACACCAAATTCTTAGCAGTTTGTTTATAACTGTTTATTTGTTTATTTGTGTGTATTTGTGTATATAGAGCTTTGGCAATATATGTCACTATGGTCATGCTAATAAAGCTATTGCATTTAATTGAGTGTGTGTGTATGTATGATTGAAGTACTGTACCGTTGTCATTTGTTGTGTAAGAATAAGTTATTATGTTGTTCTTTATGTTCTCACTTGTGGTGTGTGATTGAGTGATGAGTGGGAGAGAGAGAGAGACAGAGAGACAGAGAGAGAGAGACTGCCCTTTGTACAATAGCTGTTGCTGACAATAAATAATGTTATTGTGAATACATTTGCCTCCGAGTCCTGCATGAACTGTACATAGACTGTATTTTAACATTGGTCATTTTGGTGGTTCTTGGAGAGCCAACTATTTTCTCAGGTGGTACTTGGTGTAAAAAGGTTGGGAAACCACTGGTTTATTCAATCTTGCCATCATTTTCGTTTCGTTATCGCTGCATAAAAATGTGTTGGCTTCTTACCTCTCTTGTGCAATGTTCTAACTTTCTCTTACATTCTTTATGCTTTTTAAAATGTTAAACATATATATGTACAATCAAACAAAAAATGTTTAATGCTAAAAAGGAATCCGAGGAGCAATAGTTTATATCTTTATCTTATAACTGTTGAATAATATCTATATTGTTGCTATTGTTATGTTTATTTCAATTTTTTTTTTTTAACCATTATCAATTTAAACCTATTGTTGTATACTTCGGCCCATCTGTGGGAATTTTGTGTTGAACAAGAAAATGTATTAAATATTTTGAAAATAAAATATTTTGAAAATAAACTTATTGTTTTCTGTGCACCCATTATCCCAGCGGTTCTGTGTATATTCTTTATGCTTCACCCCCTCCAGAACACTAGGTGGCGGTAAACGTGTTGTGCAATTGAAATCCTCACTAAAGCGGCAGAAGAAGAAAGAAGCCGACTGACAGCCAGTGCATTCTGGGATATATCATGCACAATAATGGCGGTCAATCAGCAGACTTGCAATTCTCTTACACTAACGTCTCTACTTTTAGCCTTTCTTCTCCAAACGTGTCGGACTTTTGCCGAAGAATTGAATTGGGATGAGAATGGCTACGTGTTGTACTGCCCGTGCATGGGTAACTCACTTTTTGCAGCTGATACTTTTATATTTTAAATTCATGTTGCATGAAAACAGTAGAGCTAGCGAAGCCCAGACTTTAGACGTCCATTAGTTTACAGTGGAGGTCTGTGGGGGCTCATGATGCAGACACATGTCGCACGACCTGGGGGGATATACAGTGCAAGAAAAGCAAAGATGTTCTAATGTTTCAATATCAGAATAACAAAAGAAGCATATATTTAGATGTCATTCTAATCTGTGGTGTAAGAAAGTTAGCAGCTAACTGAGTGGAGTTTATTTCTTTTTTTAATGAGTACCAACAACATAGCTTTCAGAGTCTTCAAATAATAAAATCCAGAAAGCACAGGTGCATACAGAAGACAAGAATAAACATAACAACAATTGACAAAACTCATTGTCGAAAGTAGGGTTTGCTTTTATAAATGTGGATTTATGAATTTAGAATGTACACAGAATAACAATATTATTGACTAAAACATTATCTATATGGTTGTCTAAAGTTAGTCCATGAATTATTATTATTTTTGAACAATTTGGTAAATCACAAATTTTGGAAAAGCCTAATGAGTGGCGCTTAGGACCAGCAGTGTGTAATACTGAGAGTAATAATAGAAGCACAACGTCCCCTCCAGTCAGTCAGGTGTCCACTTTCTGAAGAAGAGGTATAACGCTTACTGTTGATGCTGAGAGCATAAAGTGCCCACTGTTATTGTTTAGGTCGCTTTGGAAACCAGGCAGATCACTTCCTGGGATCTCTGGCCTTTGCCAAGATGTTGAACCGAACCCTGGCAGTCCCTCCCTGGATAGTGTACCGCCACCACACACCCCCGTACAACAATGTGAGTACAGGCAGAGAGCAGCACACACTGACAGACACACAGCATTTATCAGAGAGAGAGAGCTTCCAAAGGGACATCTGAGTGTTTAAGCAGCCAATTCAGAATAATCAGAATAAAAACATAACATGAGGACACAGATAGGATCAATTGGGTGTCTGATTTAGAATCTGTATGTAGCTATGTGCAATATGTCATTTTACTATTGTTAACTAGCTGCTATTACAATACTTTCTTCATGCTACAATTGACTTATTTCATGAATACTGCTGCTGCTACTTACTGGCACATACTTACTTACTTACTACTTACTTACACATTCAGGTTCCTACCTGAATGTGTGCTTCTTTAAATTGTAAACATTAAATATTATGTGAATGCCTTTCATCTTATAGTGTTTTATTTTTTGTCTCTCTCTATACTTTTGCTGTAAATATGTAAATGTCCCCTCTGTGGGACAAATAAAGAATTCTGATTCTGATGTATTGGATATACAGTCATGATAGTGTACCGTAATGTATTATGTGCTACTACATAAGTGGGCATTTCAAGTAGATATAATGTAAAGTTGTTGCACACTTAACTGTACACTGAAAATAGATAAAGGGATGGGAATCCTTACTGGACCCAGTATTACCTGTCACCAATTTATCGATGCTTCTTAATGTTTTGGCTTCTCAATTGTATATAAAACGACACATGGCTACTTTTCATGAATGAATGCCAAATTGAATGGAGACTGTTGGCTCTGGTCTGACCATTTTGACAATAACAAAGCATTGGAATATGACCACCTTATTATTTATAGCTGAATGACCCTATGCTGCTTCATTCCGTTGTGTTCTCTCCAGGTCCATGTTCCCTACAGTGAGTTCTTCCAGCTGGAGGCCCTGTCGGCCTACCACCGTGTGCTCAGTCTGGAGGCCTTCATAGAGAAGCTGGCCCCCAAACACTGGCCCTCCGGACAGAGAAAAGCCTACTGCTTTGAGACTGCTGCCCAGAGGAGTGTAGACAAAAAATCCTGCCCCATGAAGGTGAGAGGAGTCAGTGTGTGATCCACCAGTATCAGGTATCTAAGGAGAAGTATATTTATCTGATTACAGGTGCATCTCAATAAATTTAAATGATGTGGAAAAGTTCATTAATTTCAGTAATTCTATTTAAAAGGTGAAACTCATATATCATATGAATTTCACACAAAGTGAATTATTTCTAGCGTGTATTTGTTTAAATCTTTATGATTAAGGCTTACAGCCAAAGAAAACCCCAAATTCAGTTTCTCAGAAAATTTGAATATTACATAAGAGCAATGAAAAAACGTATTTTTAATACAGAAATGTCGGCCTTCTGAAAAGTTTGCTCATGTTTATGCACTCAGTACTTGGTTTGGCCTCCTTTAGCATGAATTACTGCATCAGCCTGTGGCTCTGCTGAGGTGTGACGGAGCCCAGGGTGCTTCGATAGCGGCCTTCAGCTCGTCTGCGTTGTTGTAGGGTGTTGTCTTCCCCTTGACAATACCCTATTAAGGTTCAGCTCAGGCCACTTTGCTGGCCAATCAAGCACAGTAATTCCATGGTCATTAAACCAGGTATTGGTGCTTTTGGCAGTGTGGGCAGGGGACAAGTCCTGCTGGAAAATGAAATCAGCATCTCCATAAAGCTGGTCATAAGAAGAATGTTAAAATGCTTTATTTTATTGTTATGGTTCCAAATATTTGTCATAATTTGCTTTTTAGCTAATCTACTTGTTATCTGTATTTTAGCTTCTTGGTTTAACTTTATTCTAAATTAAGTCTCACCCTCAATGTCTTTCCAAGTTAAATTAAAGAATGAATAAAATGAGCCTCATTTGAGAGAAGGTGCTACAGAGCCTGAGCCTGTGTCAGTATTGATGTGAGGGTGAAATGCTGCCCCCTGGTGGCTCATGGGAACACGCTCAGAATCATGTTGCTGCTGTTACACTGTCTTTGCTCTGATGTGGGCCAATGGTTCTGATTGATTTCCAGGATGGGAACCCGTTTGGTCCATTCTGGGACAACCTGGATGTGGAGTTTGACCAGTCTGTGTTGTTCGGTGGTATTTCCTTCAGTGCCCACCACCATCTTCAGTGGATTAAGAAGTGAGTACACTACTGTAGACCTGTTTAGGATTATTACAGATGACCAGACCCGGCGTCATGGGAGTTTTAACATTTTAATTTTTTTATTATTATGTTTATTGTTGTTATTTGTAGGGCTTTGTCCTAATATTTATTTTTGTATTAAACTATGTTGAAAGATTAGTATAATATGATTTTCTATTTTGCTAGGAAATTCTGAATGAAAGTCTGCGCGCGAGACCGGTCTTATCGTGTGTGGATTTTTTTGAGTGAGATACTGCACAGCAGGCTTACTCAGGCTAGGTTAGTTTGGCTGTTATCATGTATATTTATCTGCAAAAATGGATATCAGGAAGTGGTTCACGAACAAAAAGAGCTCACAAAAGGATGGCAACTCAGCGCCAGATGCAATCAAGAAATCAGTTACGTTACCAACGAGCTAGCAAGCCAGCCAGGGACAGCATCTTTAAAATAACTGTTACGTGTGGCACAGCGTTACAAATGTGCCACAAAACCAACCAATGGATGTATACTAAGAACGTCAACAGCCTGATGGAAACCTAAAACCCCTCAGATCGAAGATATGATTGGAGACGAAAACAGCCAATCACAGCAGTTTTGCAACATTTTAGAATAGAATATGATAAAATATGATATATATTAAAAAAAATTCAATATAAGCTTAAGAAGTGAAAGTAAATTGTCTATTTAAAAAAATTGAATACAAATATTTATATAAATATCAGTAAACCGGTCAGCTGCCTACATCTATTTAAGACCCCCCCCCAAAAATGCTATATTTAGAATATTTTCATCACTTTACCTCACAGTCAGACAGCCCTTTCTGACAAGGAGCCAAAGCCGTTATCCCAGCTCTCTTCAAAGCAACCTGGACAAAAAACATAATTCTAATTCATAGAAGAAGAAGCTTGCTGGCCTACCTCTGCCTCCATCAGTCAGTTTGTTTTTGTTAATGTGTGACGTTGGTGTTGAATGAGGCAGCGGTAGACTAGCAAAAACTGTGCTCTGAAAGGTGGAAATACTGTTTGAGCTGTAAAACTATTCTGAATATAGCGTACATTTACACTGTTGGCTTTTTTAGTAGCTAAAATCAGTTTTGCTGCTGTACCGGTTTGTTTCTACAAACTCCACCATTTGCTGTAGGTAAAACACTGACTGTGGATAAATATCTCATACAAACATTAGGGATGTAACGATATACCGGATATTGCGGTATCGCGATAAATAAACGTCTCAATACCGTCGTGAGACTGACAAAATCTACCGCGATATTACATGGTTAATTCATTTATAATTATTCCTAAAAAAGAATTAAACCTTTATTTAACCAAATGGTCCCATTGAGATCATCAATCTCTTTTTCAAGGGAGACCTGTCCAACATGGCGGCAAGTAGGTTACAACATCAACATAAAACAACAGATAACACAAAAGGACATCATATTTGCAGGGCTACATGTACATACCTAGAGACATTGACCAGTACCAACAGTATATTTATATCTCGCCCTGTCAATAAGCCTCGCCTTCTTGGCAAACACTATTGTTTTTGAAGTGGTGGAGAGACAATGCACAGTTTTACCCACTGCTGTCACCCATGGCCAAAGCATATCTCTCTGTCCCACAGAGGTGGCGTTAGAATTTTTCGCTGTCTGTCAAAATGACAGACAGGATCGTAACATTTCCGTCATAATCCTTTATTACCCGTTGGTTCTGAACTTGCCACTAACGTGTCGCGCTGAAAGCAGAGCTTGAATTGGGCTCACCGGGATGGGACTTACCCATCTGGTACCGTTACTTCTTACTGAGTACCGGTACGGCGGTACTCAGTACTCAGTAGATGCGTCATTTCGGATCAAATACATCTAACTCAGATGCCTTCACCACAATTGTATACCACAGTAAATTTCTCTGAGTAAAATTGACTCAAATTGAAGAAAATGTTACTCTAAAAATATTACATTTGGTCCTAACCTATATAGAGTAAAATGTACTCTTTGTTCAGAGTTGTATTTTTAGAGTTCATTTTACTCTATTATGTACTTAGATTTGACTCTGCTTAATGGTTATTTACTCTATGTCAGTGTTTCTCAAAGTTTTTCATACCAAGGACCACTTAACCAATAAAAAAACACTCGTGGACCACCTAACTCCACAAATATCCAAAAACACATTGTTTTTCTAGAACAGATTAAAAAATCGCCTGAAGATGGTACAGACAAGTGGCAACATGTTTGATGAAGGTGTTACGCTGGGCTATATCATGCAATCAAAATAAAAAACTTAAGCTCGCTCCATTACGGAGATATTCCTGAGAGAGTGCGGAAAACTTAAATAAATAAATGTATTTCCAAAATGAAATGTTTCCAATATACTCACGGACCACTAGGGGGCGCTCACGGACCACCAGTGGTCCGCGGACAACACTTTGAGAAGCACTGCTCTATATAGCGTATATTAAAAACAACTCTACTGCCATTTTACTCATAATAGGTCATTTTACTCCAACTAGAAGGTCATTTTACTCCCAATAGAAGGTCATTTTACTCC